TTTGTCTCCCCGATTAGTAGGGCACTTGTGCCCAGCTAGAAGATTAGAGACATTAATAAAGTTATTATTATTATTATTATTATACCAACAGGAAGCATGGAAATGCATATCAAAAATAATTCCATTCTGCTTGCTGTGCTGTGTGCAGTCATAAAGCATGCAGGGATCAACAGAACACTCAACACTCGCTATGCATCGTGCTTCTCCTAACACTTCTCTTGCATTCCGTCAATCCCCACATGCTTTAAAACTGCACACAGCACGCACACAGGTTTTCTATTTTTTCAATGAAAGGTCCATGAAGGTGAAGTGTATATGGACTGCACACCTTAATTGGACTCTAGGCTTATGAATAATTTATCAGTTTTTTTTTAAATTGTAGAGAGCATGTTCATGTTTTATAGCTAGTCACTGTTAAATGTTCTACCTACCAAGATGTGGATCCAGCAGATGAGGCTGTTCTTGGTAGTGATCAACTATGACTAGACATACAGTTAACATATCAGATAAATAATAATATATCTATTGYCAAGGTGTGGATTTTAACCCAAGGCCGTTTCGATTCCCATCTGGGACTAAAACCAAATGAGGCTCATTAACGTCACTCCTAACATCAACCATGGATATGATCCAATGTTTGGGTGGAACCAGCTTTGAATAAATACAAAGTCTTTAGCAATTTTTCTTTACAAATAACAATTATTTGACGATTTAAATAATCCGGTTATATATGTTTTTCAGCAATCTAAACACTTTGGAATCGAAAGATTCCTAACTTTTTTCTGCTTACAGTAGTTTGTATTTTCGTAGCGAACTTGTAAATACCTAAAAGCCTTTCAGCTGCGGCTTCAAGCAGTATTTCCTGATGACAAATAGCCCCAATAGACTCTATGATCCTCACTACTTCATCTACTTCCTTGAATCCCTCCAGAGTGTAGGTTATTTGTGAGTCTGTCTCCATTTCTTCTTCTCCTTCGTTCTTCTTACTTTCGGCCGCCATTTTTCAAAGCTTACTACCAGGCGTTACTTACAAGCACTCGCATCATTTGAATCAAGTCCCTCACGGTCCTACATGATGAACCCGCATCTTCGTGGTAACCTTGAATATGGTTATACGATATACTGATCGACCCTTTTGAGCCCTCATGTTTATTTTCTCGTCAAATATCCTATTGATAAATACTGTTACGCGGTTAAGCATGAAGTATAAGGGAATAAAGAATAAGGGATTAAATAGATATGCACGTGAAAATTGGGATTACATCACCAGCTCTATATAAGAAATGTTAATGTAAAATTAAGTGACCAGCAGTTAATACTTGAGGACTTCGTTGATACTCTTACACGAATAATTCAACAGGTTCTTTTGTGCCCCCCATTTACTGTTGGTTAGGAAGGGTTGGGAGACAGGGCCTACGGTTTTAAGTCCCCCAGGGGGGTACTACCTCCCCAACTTGGTTAGGGGTGTGCCGCCAGGACCTCAAAACCCTGACCCTATCCCAGACCTAAAATTTTGATTTTACATACCCTACCCCAGACTAAAACTTAGAATTGTACACCCTATCCCAGGCTAAACTCAGTTAGTCAACAGATTGCAATCAATATTGTCTAACGTTTTTATTGTTTTTGTGCCGTTAGAAAGCGTAGCCTATTCGCCAGTCAAATGATACCCTACCTCAGACCCAAAAGCTGAAAAACCATACCCCATAGGGCGGCACATACCCGTATAGCAAATATAGGGGAGTACCCCCCCCCCCCCTGGGTTAAGTCCTTGTCCGAGAAGACTTGAAGGACTTGAATCAGTCTCAACCCTAAGGTCCATGTTCTTGACGAGAATAAGAAGCAGAAACAAGTCATTCCAGCTATTCTTGGATCTTGGAATGTCCTATTTTCTATCGCTTTTCGTCTATCGCCTATCGCCTTTAGCGATGACAGTTTTTTGAAATAGGTGTATACAAATTTCAATGCAGTACTCTCTATATAACCAACATAACATTGGTTTAAAATACTTTAATAATAACAATCATGATTCAATTAACCATTCATGCCTTAGAACTCACTGAGTTTCAAACAATAAAACAGTCCACAACGGTGAGTATTAAGCCTGAACAAGGTTCAATCATCCATATTCATTCTTTTGTATTCTATGTACATTCAAATTCTACACAATCGGTTGGTTGTTAGCAAAATATTTTTTAAATGTACAAAATTATTTGCTTTTCCCCCTGAAAATACAAGAATCCATATTTCATCCTATTTTGTTCTATTTTTGATTCAAAGAGGTACATATACTTGTATAATGAAGAGCATTGCTGACAGAACATCCCGTGGGGGAAGGGGAAGGACGTTTTGTTACATTAAGAGCTTTTTCAAAGCCTTTTTTACCAGTAATTATTTTTCTTACTTAATATTATTCTAATTGAATCATTGGTTATGATGTAATTATAAATGCATGTCATTCATATTTTCTAGTAAGCTGTGCGTGTGGCTTATGGGTTCCCTGTGGCGGAGAACTTTTAAAACTATACTATTTTTTCAAGACTGTGAAATAACGGTGAGCATATTAAAAGGGATAGTTTCGATAATGATTTGGTATTTCTATCAATTAATAGCGTTTGTCGAACAAACGCGCAAAAATATATCAATCCATGAAATAATTTAAAACTGATTTCCAATCGCATTGCATTGTGGATTAATCCTACGCAGAATATATATTTGACATTGCCGCATTGCATTGTTGATACCCCCATTGGATTGTGGATATCACGTGGTTGATGACGTCAGAGGTCAGAGTCGGAGGTCCTGTGAACGTAAGACTCCAGCCAGTCCTTCATTAGGGCGGTTCATCTCTACAGATACTTGATTCACGTATTTGTAAATCAGAGCTGCTATTTCTTTCGCCTACAACATGAACAAAGAAACGTCAGCCAATYAAAGAGGTGTATAATCATCACGTGATCTTTGACAAATATGGGTGACGTAATGGTAGTGCACTAGTCTCTTATCTCTTGGGTCTCAGGTTCGATTCCTGGACTTTCCCTTAATTCAAGGGGTTTTTTTTCCAATTCAATCTGTGAGTTGTGCCCTGACTTAGATCAGCCCACAGGTTGTTTCAGGGTTCAATCTGTGAGTTGTGCCCTGACTTAGATCAGCCCACAGGNTGTGCCCTGACTTAGATCAGCCCACAGGTTGTTTCAGGGTTCAATCTGTGAGTTGTGCCCTGACTTAGATCAGCCCACAGGTTGTTTCAGGGTTCGATCTGTGAGTTAGCCGTGCCCTGACTTAGATCAGCCYASAGGTTGTTTCAGGGTTCTATCTGTGAGTTAGTCATTCCCTGACTTAGATCAGCCCAGAGGTTATTTAATTGAATGATTGATCTTGCAAACCAATTAAATAACAGATGTGTTATGACGAGCCAATGAACGAGTAGATAGATCGTACCTCTTGTGTTTCCATTCTTGTTACTTTCTGTACCATCGAGTCACCTATTTTTAAATCCAGAAAGAATCTCTTTTTGTCCGAGACGAGGATTCGCGTAGAAATAATCCGGGCAAAGTCCTCATGCCTCAGAATGTTCTAGAAAAACAAAAAACAAAAATGATGAGGGATCAGAACGAAGAGACATAATAACCCAGGGGGGGAGGGGGAGGAGTACGTACTTCAGGGGGTATATGTGTTTTAAATAGCGAATATAGTTATGGTGTGTGTAAGGCGAGCCTCAAAGAAGAGCCACTTACGGGTAGTGATGGTTGTAAAATATAAGTTTATAATAAGAGATGACGTACCTTGTTTTTGGTGTCTATGAAATGAATGCCTTTCTTGTCGATAGCAGCGATGCATTCTCCGGTAACATTCGGGTGAGAACAGTGCTGAAAACGCAAATCAAAAATTGATTATTCGCAGAACGTTTAGTTGTTTAGGATGTCTAGAACATACGGCCTCGAGAGATCAAGTAGAAGCATGCATTTGAGGAATAAATCTAAAGAACACCTAATGGTATGAAAAGGAGGAAGAAGCTTGTAGTGGAAGAGCAGAAGTATCGTGACAAATGCACGGGTGCAGTACGGGTGCTGTACGGCTGCTGCACGGGTGCTGTAAGGATGCTGTACGCATGCTGTACGCATGCTGTACGCATGCTGTACGCGTGCTGTACGCATGCCGTACGGATGCTGTACGCATGCTGTACGGATGGTGTACGGATGCTGTACGGATGCTGTACGGTTGCTGTACGGATGCTGCACGCTGCTGTACTCTTATTACATTTTACCTTAATGGCAAAGAACGTCGAGCCAAAGCTTGCCCACTTCGACACAATTTCTAAAAAGGAAAAGGAAAGGAACGTATGTGAGTTACTGGGTGATAAGACACTACGATACAGTGAATCACTCGAGATGCACCAAGTTCAACTCACCTAGAAATMTTTTTCTCGCTTGTGCAGGCGTCAGACTGAATCCTCTAAAATGATCCTGGACGAGAATCAGCCATTGTGACGGTCGAAGCTTGTCCTGCATGTATTTTGGGATGACTTTATCAATGTCACTCCTGGAACATAAACCAAGTCTAGTCAGAACTGAGCAAGACACAGGCATCCCATCACAGAAAAAATGACCCATGATTGTATGGAGATTATTGAAGTTTGAATGACTTACTGTACTGGCGTTTGATGAGTGCTTTCCTGAGCGAGTAACTGTATAGCGCCCAGCTCAGCAACTTCATTCTGCAGCTACAAAACGACAATAATACACGTGGTTAATGGACTGGTAAAACACGTGATCAGGTGTCACGTGATTTATTTACCTGTGCGTTAGCAAGGGTACGTTCCTGTCTCACTCCAGTCAAATATCCTACCAAGTAGTCTGGTAATACCTACAAAAAAAAAGCGATTTAGGCCTACAAACAAACAGAAAGACCTACAGACACAAATATAGACAGACGGTAGACAGATACGAATAGACAGACAAGCAGTTAGACCTACAGACAAACAGTCAAACAAGCAAACAGACAGATAGACCTACATATCGATAGACAGACCTATAGACAGATAGATTGACTCACACCGAAAGACGTACAGACATAACGACTGCCAGGCAGGCAGACATAGATTCTAACCTGATGGTATATCACATTAACGTAGAGCTCGTTATCAAAGCGTGGAGGCTGGCGCCAAAGGACTCTTCTGAACCATAACTTGAATTCCACGTCTTGCTTCTCCATCTGACTAATGGCGTCCATGACGTAATCAGTGGTCAGTATTGGGGTCATCACAGTCTCTGTTAGTAATACAAGATAAATATCATCTAGAGTGATATAACACACAAGATACATGGTATATACATAGACATGACGTAATCAGTGGTCAGTATTGAGGTCATCACAGTCTCTGTTAGTAA